ACTCACCAGACCATGGATGTCTATTCCCCCTTGAGCATCACCCTCTTGTACACACTCTTCAATGCCCATCGGATCTGCTTCAGGGGGGTGTTCAATGCTTTGTATGACTGGTCTTGGGGGAGAGGGGATGGAAACAGGTGGGGTGGGTTGAAGGTCCCCCCTTGATATGAGGGTACACATGTAAGAGTTGTGCGAGAACACTTCATTTCTGATGAGTTCTCCAAACAGGAGGGTCAACTGTGCAAAACTTGGATGTGTCTTGTTGTGTTGGTAACCACCATCTGCAAAACAATGGAGCAAAGTCATTACAACCAACTTGGTACAACAAAAAACCGTGTATAAGAAGGCGGGATTCTACTCTATTTTGGAAATAGGCGGATTGAGGATTTTTAGATTTTAGAGACACATGGAAGAAAAGAGAGGAAAACGAAAGACAGGGAGGGAAAAGAAAGGAAGGAAATTAGGAGACCAGAAAGAAAAAAGAAATAAAAGAAGTCAAGAGAAGAGACAAAAAAGAAAAAGAGAGGAAATCCTCAGGGAAAAGGAGGAAATGGGACAACGAAGCTAGCTTAGCTGCAAAAAGAAGGGTTCTAATGGCTTTCGGCCAGAAGTGAAGGTGGCGTTTAGCGTATTATTCATGTTACCCTTCCCTTTTTGAAAGCACTTTATACTCAAACAAACAAAACCCCCAAACCAGAGGATTGACAGAAAGACAAACAGTGGTCCACATAAATACTTACCGACTACGGGAGCGTAATTGTCCAGAAAATTCATCAACACCTTTTGGAAAGGTGGCACTGTGCTCGCAGCAGTAGTCACCGCGTTTGATGAAGTTCCTTCCTCTCCTTGTTCTTGAGAACTTTCTCTCTGTCAAACGAAACGGAACTAGTGTTATCGTTTTCGTTGTTCCTGTAAGTACACCGAGAAACGGTGGTTCTTTGTCTCGCTCGATCTTTTGTATTTTCTCCGGCAAAAAAACGTACTAACAGTCAAAAGCAAGTAATTTTGTTTTCTTTGAGGTTTCTCTCCTCATCTTTAATAACAGTTCTACATGTATGCTCTTCCATTTGATTCGAATCTTAAACCGAAGGCTTTCGTCATATCAGACGTATGCCTTGAAAACCGGAAGCTGTTGTCACTGACTGCCGTCAGCCGAGCTAAGCAAAGACACCCATTCTGCAAACTAATCTAAGAAATGAATTGGATATTTCTGATTTCGCGAGCGAGGGAAATATCTGATGGATCTCAAAGTTGAGTAAATTATGTACAATGCAACAACCAGTGTGCTTGAAAACTTTCCAACAACGTTAAAATTTGCACTGTAGGCTGTCTGCATCTTACCTCCTCCAGGATCTCAGTTTGTCTTCTTTGCAATATTTTGGCTACAGCTAAAGCACGGAATTTCCCCACTCGATATTTACTGACGGCCCATTCAAACAACAGAAGCGCTATTGCCTCATCAGTAGCAGATGCCTAACGTAAAACAAAACAGAGAGAAACCAATAGCATGGGTAATAGGACACTAAGAATAATGTGTATTTACATAAATATAGCCAGCAACACTAGAAAAAAAAAATTCTTGCATTTTTCTGGGAAATCGTTTCGGAAAATTGCTCTGCCCAAGAACACAACATGGCAACTTGGCCAATTTTCGAACCCGGATCTCTCGCCTTGGAGACCAGCGCCTTATCCGTCTGGCCACTGCTTCCCCTTTTACGTCTACAAAAGTGAAAAATTCTTAAGTGTTAACACGTACCTGTCCTCCCGTTTTAATTGAATCAGCAAAAATCTTGCTGTAAAGTGAGTCAATGGAACTTGTTGAATCTGCTCTGTTGAAGTTGTAGCGGTCAAGGATTTCCAAAGTGTTGAGCACTCTCTTCACAGCTAAAACTGAAATAGAGAGGGCTAAAATAAATAAAGAGAATTAGCCGTGTAGTATTGAGCTGTGGATGAAGAGGGTTTAGTGTTTTAATTTACAATTAGCATTCAACTATAAGCAGTCTACCACAAATTTTGCAATCTGATTTGCTACGCTACTCGCATAGACAGTGAGTTTGGTGAGTAGGCTCACAGTGTGCAGTTGATGACAAAATAAATCAAAACACAAGCCTGATTTGTTGTTAAATTTTGACCTAATAGCAGATATAAACTGAGACAATTCGATAATGGGTCGAGATTTCTATGCGTGACATATGACGCAGATAAACCCTGACTACTCACAAACCACTCACAGTTTATCACGGATCAGACAGCGAGCGGCGCAGCGTAGCCAGTCAGATGAAAGCATTTGAGAAAGACCACTTATAGCGTTATGCTAAAATTACATATACTTTTGACGAGCTCAGAAAACCATGAACACCAAAAAGTCTTGCGAACTGATATTTTCCAGAGATGTCTGTGCCAATCATAAACTAGATAACCAAACACCGGGCCCCGTTTGTTCGAAGTGTGGATAAATAGCGCAGTACGTTTTGCTAACACATATCAGCTGGATGGCGATCTACACTGTATCTGTTGGATAGCGCCACATGCTCTTTGAACAACTGGGCCTAGATAATTTAACTTTAGACATTTCCAACGACGTTAAGGTATTCACAGGTTTCTGATACTTGACAGCAATGAGTACATGCATTAAATACGTGTCAGGAAATTTGAACAAAACATTATTACGCGTTCATAAGTGTTGTTGTTGATTTTAGTCTTTGGTTCAAAAATTTTATTTTAAATAATTTCAAGGTCTCAAAATGAAACACGAACTCCTCCATAAAAAGGGAAAAAAATAAGTAATTGCACATTCATGTTAATTTAAACACAGCCATGTTAACGATTGCTCTGAAAAAAAAAGGAAAATTGTCATTCATTTTAAAGTCCAAAGATATAATGACCCAAGCAAAAACTTGTTAAACTCTTTCTACAAAAGTGTATCTTAATATTATAATTGAGTCATAATTTCAGTTATTATGATAGTCTTTATAAAAAAAGCTAGAGGTGTACCAAAAAAAAAGGTCTTTTATGCATTCATTTATTCCGTATGACTTTATATAAAGGAGCCCTTCCTAGAATTCACATTTTGGTAATCAAAAAATAACTTCGTAATTGATATTTATATTAAAAGGTAGTCTATCAATCATGATCATTTTTTTCAGTTGCCTAGATAATATCACATTTAAAAACTTAGATTTAGAATTTGTCCAAAACCGATTTTTTTTGTTTATTGTTCAGCAGTGCCTGAATAATAAAAATTAACCATTATATAAATGAAGCAACTGAAGGAAATGGAGTTAAATTTCTAGAGTTAAGTATAGATGTGGTTTAAAGAAATTAAATCTCAAAGAAACGTTGTGCATGCTCTAGGAAGTAATTTCAAAGTAAAGACTATTAAAATGAGAGTAGCCATGTAGTTCAACCAAATGGCAAACATGCAGGTTACAAAGTGATCATGCAATTATTTTGTAAATGCCAAAAGGACAGTTAGTGCTTCATTCAGAGTACAGATGTGTGACAAGAGCCAACATTTCCTGCTTTGTAATTAAAAGAGATGGAAACCCCAAGACACCAGTACATGATTAATGATTAAAGATCTTCCACACATGCGATCATTGTGCAGTAACTCAACAGTTGTAGTCATCACAGAGAGACACAAACAAGATCGTCGTACAAGGACACTGGGCAAAGATTAACCGAAGTGCAAGGTCCATTTAGACAAACGCCACAGGTATACTACTGTGCATGAAGTCAGGTAGAGTCCTGTGGTGACTTAGAATCAAAAGACCAAAGGTTAACAATCAGTTCAGATTCTTTCTAACTGCCTCAGTCTATCACTATGTTAGAATCAAAGAGTAGTTCTGCTAAATGCATGACTGATGATATATTGTGCCCTGTATAATGTAGTTCAACCCTTAGTCCCCATAGAGTAACTACAGCCGTAGCATCTACAGGACGATGTAGTTACTCCCTTACAGTATCACCCCTGAATCAGAGATTACGGTCATAAGAGTAAAGGAAATGATCACCAACTAAAGAGGCTCTTGATTACTACACAAATTCTCATTGTTAGCTCCTTAGGAAATGTATAGGAAACAGTGTGGAGGATGTTCAGACTGATACTAGGGTGCAAAAGATTACATCTTAAAGTTGAATTGTGTGAGAGAAGAACCTGATTAAGGTAAACTGTTATATACAGTACCATATTTGTTCGAAAGCCTTAAGAACGCTTCATATCAGCAAGGTTAGTTTTTCGTCCAACTTAATCGATCTTGATCTCTCACAGAAAATAAAAACAAATTAAACAAATTGAACTCTCCTTAAGTGCTGCTCAAGAGAAAATCCCTGTAAAAATTTCAGATACACAAGCATTGGTTGAAATCCTTAGCATCTACAATCCTCTACTTAGCTTTCTGATCTGAAAAATCTAAAAACGTTATATTTACAATGACTTTATCTCAAGGAAGAAATAAAAAAATGGAGTTACATGTACGTGAATGATCAATAAAGAAAAAAATTATTTTGATACTGTAAGATATTTTTGTAAAACATAATACAAAGCACAAAGCTGGGAAGATTACTGCACAACACTGTACAGTTGTACAGTGGTATATCCTATGGTATGGTGCCTATTTTGTGTATGCAATGCAAAATCTATTTCAACTCCAGAAGAGTCTGTTCAATTTACATATTATATGGCTTGCTTAATATTTAAGACAATTTAATCAGCACAAACTATGACTAAATGCAATTTTATGCATAAAAGTATTAAATCAACTTGTTAGAGCATCACTAAGCACGTTAAAGACTTACTCAGTTGAACAGTTTATCATGTTACATTACATTCAAAGGCATGTGGTACTACTGAGTTAAAACGTCTACAATAAAAGTGAATGATAGGATGAATGCACAGTACATGTGCTTTATTAAACTTACAATGGCTCAAGAAAGGTTAAGAGATATTGAGAGCTAGCAGTATTTTACTTTTAAAAGCAATAATGCATAAAGGCTGTAGACAACAGCTATATCTGCAGCTAAGAACTAGATGTAGATGTGTGCAGTGAGTGAGCATAGTTACGAAAAACAAATTCACAGGGGAGGTGATGAATTCCAGGTGCACAAACTAATCAAAAGTGCATGAACTGTACTCAAAAAACATTGAGACATTCACAGAACTCTTTACGTATATAGAGTTGTTATAATGAAAAGTGCTGTTCCTATCTTTTAAGCGAGTGTCAATGTCCAAAGCTGATGCTTAAGTTTTAATTACAGTAATTGGTAGTTGTAACTATCAAATGAAATTCGATAAGTACACAAACTGAAACAAGAACACAACAACATAGATGTGCATGGCTGGATGACAGAGTGATGAAATAAACCAAAGAAACTTCACTACATGTACATTGTACATATAAATAGTTTACAGGAATAAGACTTCAGTGCTAAATTACATGAAAACATCTACCCCACAACTTTACACACCTGTGAACTGTAAAATTTTATGCATGGAGAAATGTATGTTTATTATAGCAATATTTAAAAGTCCAGAAACATTCAGTAGATTGCTTTCTCACCTGAAGATTTGTCTTGGTATTTATCTGGAGACCAGTGAGATTCAACTGCCTTACTTCTTGTCTTGATTTCTTCCTCACTTGCAAGCAACACAGATAACAGCTGAATAGCACATGTTGACGAAAAAAAGTATTTCAGTTTTGGTTACAAAGGAAAACGTGAACAGCAGAGAGTAACCATTCATTTTGCTTGGTACCAACCTCAGAATTCAGGGAAGCCTGAGTATTTCCAGGTGATGGAAGAGGCATTGAAGATGGTGGAATAGACAGCCTGTCCAGTGGGGATCCCAACACAGCAGGTTTATTAGCAGCCATGTCTGTGTTAGCCACAGTCGAGTTGCTTGCACTGCTTGTTATGCTACTGCTACTGGCCCCACATGGAATTGAGTTCCAGATCAGAGCACCAGGGCAGCAGATTGCTATTGTCTGGAGAACTGAACTCAGTGACAGGACAAGTGCATGATGCTGTGGACATGTCTTGTACTGTGACAGCACAGGAAGAGACTGAGGATTCACAGGAGTCAGAGATGAACTACCAAAAGGAGGAAAAGATGGGTGGCAAAAAAAACAGTCAGCATACCTCTGGCCTATCTCCCTGGAGCTTATCTAAGTTTCAAAAGAAATGACTGCCTTGTTAGGGGCATCAACCCCCTTGGAAGGATGCTTAACTTTCATTTTTCACCATCACCCTCATGACACCCATTTTTACTAGTTCTGACCCTTTCTGTGATCTTACCAATGCAATATTGTGGCTTCAACAGTCAATAAAAAGATTTTCCTTTGCCCTAAAAGCACATACTCTGGTGTTACAAGTGAAGGCCAGTTCAGATCTAAAGCCGTAATCAAGTGCTGTAAAGCTTCACACTGGGAGCAGCAGAAAGTTTCCAGATGTTGGGCATTTAAATCATTTTAACACTCTGACAACTAATGCACAGCTGTCAATTTTAGTTTCAATTAAAGCTGGTTATGCAAAATATGCATGTAAAGTATTATGACTTGATCAACATGTAAGATGAGGAGTAGGTGAAACATAGCGTGTATCTACGATGTATATGTAAACTTAATTCATCACTACCCCATGGAGCTTTCCAGGGCCAATACGAACAAACTAAAACATTGTGAACAAAAAGAAGTCTTAAAAACCCAACTGGCAGGAGGCAGATCAATTGGCTATAAACAAAACACAGCCGATGAGTTGAGGTTAGGATGACCAAGAACAAGACCAGTGAATAACAGGGTGGAGGGCTTGAACCCAGCTCCAACAGATTACCACCCTAGTGCCCAAACAATCAGTCAGATCCCCATCACATAGATAATGTACCTCTCTGGGGTAATGGATGGAACAGGACTGGGCACAGATGTGCTACTTGTCTTGTTTGAACTGCTTGTTCCTTGATTCTGTTGCTCAGACTGCATTTGCTCAGCAGCTGAATACAATGTTGACAGCTTCTTGGAACACACTTGGGCAAGAACTCTTGCAAGGGTTTGGGACATGACTATCTGGTCAACATACTGAAAAAAAAAAATGGCGCCAGAAAAATTAAAATCTGGTCTGAAATGCAAACACTTTTTTTCTTTTTTTTGTGTGCAAGCCCCTTCCAAGCCCAGCCAAATGTTGATTTCTTTGTTTCATTATTTTTGAACACTTCATTCTATCCCTGCCCCCCCCACAAATTGAAATTGCTTTAATTGGTCAAAAATTGAACCTTTTTGTAATGGGGAAACTCTCAGAAAGTTGGCACACAGGTGTGTGTACAAAAATGCTATGGCTGTACAGGTGTGTGTACAAAAATGTATATATACTGAGCTGTTAGAACAAAACAGAAACCAAACTGTACCCTTAGTAAAAGAGGAATAAGGTATTTTAGCAACAAATCATCTGCATTCTTGCTTTTGTCCAACAAATCTAACAGCCATTGAAGAAATTCCTGTCTGTCAAGAAGACTCTCCTACAAATTGGCAAAATAACAATATTAGTGTTTCACTTACAATGACATAAATTTCAGTTGATCTGCTCATGAAAATCAAGCCAACAAATTAACACTTTAACTCCCAGAAGTCATTAACAGGTAACTTCTCCCCATAATAACTTAAGATTATTCAAAAGGTCATGAGATTATTCAAACTTATCAGATCAAAGTTATAATCTTGCTTTGACACCAAATTCTCATAACTTATTTACAAGGAAATTTGTAGCAGGTAGAGGGGGGAATTAACAATCAGATCTTGGGAGTTAAAGGGTTAAATGATTCTGAAATTGTAGCCATTGTAGAAAAGAAGCCTTCAAAAATTCAGGCATTGTCATGATTCAAACCTGTGCCTCCCAGATTCTAGTTAGGCTAATTTTCTGCTGTAAGGATTGCAATTAAAAAAAAATGTCATGCATTTTATCATGAATTTCAAAGTCAGTTAGTGAAAATTACATGTACTTCTTCTTTAAAGTAAATGGCACATGTTCTTGTGTATACATTACTATCTACAATAACTCAATTAGTAGTCTAAATCATTCATCCTGTTTCACTTGTGAGGGAGCCTGAAGTCACAAGCCTAGCTCGTTGTTTTTGTTTTCTAATAAAACAAGTACATACACCCACCCATACATGAAAATACAGATAGTTGTAAGTCAAGTTTCTTACCTCATAAAGCCAGTGTGAAAGCCGCACAGTGTAGTTCCACTGTTTTAGTGCTTGTTCTACTTCAGGCGTCATTCTCTGCTGGTGTTGGGAAGAAGTTATGCCCGCAAAGTGGCTTTGATAAAAATCTGCAATCTTGCTTAGCTGGTCTTTCAAGAATTTTGTCAAAGCATGAGTCCATTCTGAAAAGAAGTAAGATGACATTGGGATTAAAGAGTACTGTACATTATCCAGCAAACAGGTACTGAAAATGCTCAAACTTATCAAGCAAAGCACAGTAGAAGTTATTCTCTTGATCTCACACCAAATACTTGTAACAAATATACAAGGAAACGTGTAGTAGTTAGGGAGGAGAATTGACCATCAGATCTTGGGAGTTGAATGGTTACGCATGATCTTTACAGCAATTATGGCAAGCAGTAAAGCTTGCATTCACAATTCAAGATCTAACTGTCCTATAACTGCACATACAGTACAGAACATTAACCCTTTCAATCCCAAGGTGTAAATAGTGCAAACAATGTAACACCATAAGATGCGGCATGAAAACATCCAGGCACCATTCCTACTGTAATAACAAAGGGAAAGAGTGAACCACTTAGGGTGTTTGTGTTAGGCATTATTATAGATAAAACTTTCAACATGCATTTAGTTTTGCCAGTCCCTGTTACTGTTGATGTAGAACTATCTAATATGTAACTAAATGGAAAATAATACTATCATGGGGATCTTTCTAAAGCTCAATAGTGCTCTCTTGCCTTATCTAATACTATGTAGCTACATCTAATAAAAACTGCAATTAAAATAATCTCATACAAACTCCCCTTCTTCCCACAAAGATTTGCCACATTGAGCTAAAAACACTTGGAATGCTGCTTTTAATGCACACTAAAACTTGTTATTACTGGCTATCTCTTTGTTGCTAACTTAGTAAGATTGCCTTTTTAACAAATTTAAGTCATATACTTATGAGCGCACCTTGAGCTGGGTCTGCCATGATTCTCTTTTTGCCTTTGGACTCATTGATACCAGTGTTGTAAGCTGATGATATCTTGATGAACCAGGCTGCCCTTAACATTGGAATGGAGTGATCACACAGACTGCTAAAGATTTCTTCTTTCTTGTTGAAAATTGGTACCTGAAAAGGAAAATTATTTCAGTGAAAGGTTCTGTGCAGAGCAAGCAATTAACTAATTTCTCCATTTTGGCAGATACTTAATTGTAGGTAAGTTCTTGAAGAACTGTTGCAGTTGTTTCAGGGAACATTCCAGAAAAAGCTGGAAACTCCTCAAGATAAAGAACTCACAAAGTACTTTACTTTTATAGATTTTTAATTTACTTTTTCCTCAGAGGACCTGCTGAAAACCACTTGGGGTGATGGAGGTCTCCTCTTAAATATATATATATATATATATATATATATATATAATGTATATTATATGTATAATAATAATTTCTATAATATAGAAATTACAATATATATATAATTATTATTATCATTATTATACTTATTATTAGTAAAAAGTATGACTGTGAATATTCTCTGGGAATTAGAAAAATAATAGTCTACCAGAAAAACTTCACTTTGAAAGTAAATTGCACTTTAAATATTTTATACATGCATCTATTTACATAACTTTGTAAATCATAGTCTGAACTTTACACCTTTATCTGTGTTTCATACTCAGTTAGAAATATTTAGTCGATATTTTACATTACATGTAAATCCTTGCCATGTAAACAATGTTTTGTTATCTGTAGTCTACACTTCACATTATCTGTTCACTGTGCGTACAGTTATATTTATCATCTGTTGAAATTTTGTCAAGATTTTGCTCCCAACTATTTTTAATTTACCATTGATTCCCATAGAGATAATATTACATCAGTCAATAACAATTTGGTCTTTAGTAATTGGTTTTAATACCCTTGCTCCTTAATTTCTGGAGATTTTCTCCTCAATAAAGGCACATGTACAATACATGGTATATCTACAGCACACTGTGCATAAATTGAATACCTTTATAATCAAGTACACAAATAAAAAATAATTATACACACACTGTACAATGTACCTTCTTTGCTAAAACTGTCAGCGGTTTGTTCCCTGCCAAATCTTGAAACCATGATGAGATGAATGGCCTAGAGCGAGCAGTGATGTGTACCTAGAAATACGTTTAAGAGTTTTACTTAGATTCAGTTGCAAACTTTCTAAACTACAGAAACCATCCTCAAAGGTGGACTGCAATTTAAGTAATTGCTTATTACAGTTGGAGTCCAATGGGCTACTACCTCATTCACACCTACAGTTGTGGTAACAGGTGATTGAATCATTTAGGGAGACTGCCACAAAATCAAAGGTTAAAAGAGTGTTCACTCACTGGCAAAAAGTTATCTTTGACTGGCTGTGCTTTTCTCTTGCTTCCATCTTGGGATGTGAAGGTATTCTGTTTCTGTTTTTCTACTAATATGGCATTGAAACTTTGGGCAAACTATGGTGAAAAACAACAAACATTGCATCACTTTACAGTGTAACAATAAATTAAAGAATTTCTTGAGTTAAAGAAATATTGGATAGTGCTGTATGTATGAGATAAATTTTCTGAATAAAGATAAGCACAGGCCATTTAAATAGAAGCAGAGAATTCTGTGCTGTAGCCTGGGAATTTTGCAATCTCTGTACCAAATGAGTGCTCTGTTCCTTAATTAGTGCACATGATCCAAAAGTTTATTAAAAGGATAATTTCACAATTTTAAGATATTGTAGAAATATGGTAAATTTTGTACTCACTTGTCAAACAAGGAGAGATATATTTCTCACAAAATCTACCATTACCCCTAAATTTTCTTTAAAACATCAAAAAAATATTTAACACTCCAGATCTTAGCAGTGTGCACCACAATCACCATAGCTACATCTAATAGATGAAACTACTTGCTAAGTGGGTTGAGCATCTGATTCAAAGGTCTGAGATATTAATCCTTCAAGGGAGGGGGAGTAGGGGGAAACTGACGGCTTTTTTCCTTTATTGACCCTTCATTCGCTTCATGGAGTGACCAAAACAAAATTTCTCCTTTCAGTATCAAAACATTTTCAAGCAAAAAGTGATGAGAATAAAAAAAGAAATTTCAGCAAGGGACAGTTACAGATTTAAAGCCAATTTCTCAAAGCTGAAATGAAAATAAATGTAGACCAGATGGTTACAGGAATGGATATGGAGACCTTGTGGGTAAAACGGCTGATGAGAATATCTACAAAATACCTTAACCCTTTAACTCCCAGATCAAATTTGTAATTCTCCTAAATGTCAACCATAAAATTCTTATAATGTTAGTTCAGAGAAGTTAGTATTGAATCAACTTATTATCCTCAAATTGATATTTTGTTATATTCTTATCACTTATCTGGTTGACATTGTATTGATATTGTAAGGAAAAATTCTGTCTTGGTCACTCACGGGAGGTAAAGGGTCAATGTACAACAGTAGTTCAACATACAGAGTTAATACCTCAGGGTTAAAATTTTTCTCTTCATTTTAAATCTTTTTTCTTTGATTTTTAAGATAATCTCCAGAATTGAAAAATAATACAGGAATAAAAATAGGTGAGCAAAAAATAAATTAGAGCGACGACATCAATGCACAAAATGGGACTAGAATATGTAACTTGATATGGTTAAGACAGCCTTGTATCATTATCATCCATCCGAATACAAAGTGAAAAAAAAATCAGTTCTTTTTATCAGTGACAAATCGATTAAATACCTTTACATAAAACTGCGAAGCCACTATCTATCATAAAGAGAAGACCGCAATTTGCGAGGTCTTTAATTCAACAAGCACCTACAATACCTTTGACAGCGGCACATTAGACATGATATCCTTTGCTGATCCATACTGAAAAAGGAAAATATACATTCAAGTTTGCATCTATGAAGCGATTAACTGCATATGTGACGACAAAATGTCAAATCATACCAACCTCATTCGTCCCCGAGCTAAATGGAAGCGGTTGGTAGCTAAATCCCTTTTTGACATTTTCTTCGGTGAGCTCGTCCTGTCGAAGAAATACATTTAAGTTGTCTACAAAAATGAAGTTCTAGCGTTTGAATTTCGATTTAATTGTACCTCTCGCTGTTTACTGTCTTGTGGATAGACATCAGGCTGCCCCAAGCGTGGTCTTTTCAGAGGACGAGGTGCCGCCATGTTTTGGATCAAGCATTCTATTCACGCCCGCCTTCCACTGACCCCGCGGCGTTACTCGTGAGATCACGCGTACTTCACCAGCAAAACGAAAACAAAGATGGCGGCCGCCCTAAACGGTTTTCGGAAGCTATGTGTTGGTGGCTTGCGGTCTCAAACAAGGCTTTTGCCGCGGGTATGTAACGCAAGTATTCTCGAATTTCTTGAAGAATCCTCAGATTGTCATTAATCGTTGTTTTACGCGCAGGTGTTGGGTGTAAATGGCTGTCAGCATCAGCAGAACAGAAATCTGTCGCTACATGAACACTACAGCATGAAACTTCTTCAGGAGGCAGGAATTCTTATACCTCAGGGTGGTGTGGCTAGGACACCTGAACAAGCTTATGAAATAGCGACTACTTTGGGTACGTAATGCGCGAATATGAGGGTATATTGTGTCTTTTACAGCGAATAATTTCACTGGTACAATATATACACATCTGTTTACTTTGTTTTTATTGGTGTCTACAATTTAAAAACAGTCGAATGCTACTTGTATGCTACTATTAAACTCGGTGTGGGTAGTGTACAGATGTCGTAGCTTAAAAAAACTATCAAATGACAGATCTGAATCACAGAGACAAATATTACCATAAACTCTTAGAACAATACAGCTCTTGGTACGGATATTCACAAATAACTGCGATCATTTTTTAATGAAAAAATGTTAAAATTTAAAAACGTATGAAGAAAAAGTCAAATAGGAAATGATTAGTGTTTAGATTTCCTCCATATTATCTCACCAGTTCTAGAACATATGCTCCAAAAACTGTGTGGATCATAAGGTAATTTCCAGAACCCACAATGTATTATTGTGGAGGCTCAGTTGAGTCATGTTTACATTGATGTTAAATCCTTTTACTCCCAAGATCAAAAAAGTCTATTCTTCACACTATGTGCCACAGATTTCCCATAATTTCAGTCTTGAGAATTAAGTGTTCAATCAAACAACATCATTTAGTTGATATTATTACACATGGACTATGCTAAGCATTGGAACAAGTAATGTGGGGATTTAATTTTCAAATTTGAAGTGTAGCCTTGGGAGTCTTAGGGAGGGGTGCTTCTTATTAATGATGGCTGAACAATTGGCACAGACCTCTAAGGGAATGACATCCAATTATATGGTTGCATGTGCCACAGAATGGCAGGATTTGTATGGGTTCTGGGAGAACAGGAAAGTCCTGGAATTTTATTTTGATGTGTTCTAGGACTGGAAAGTCCTGAAAAAAGACTTCAGGTCCTAGATAATCTTGGAAATTAGCCTAAATCAAGCAATAAAGTTTTCAAAATCCACAATATGTACATTTCAAGAAATGTACTATATGTAGACTGTAAATAAAATTGATTAAGAAAAAAAGAGATTTATAAAAATTTTTTTTAAATTAATCTAGAAAGGAAAGGGTTTAAGGTGAAATTTGGAGTCCTGAAAAAATTGCTCTGAGTCTTGGACAAGTCCTTGGAATTTGTTTCTGAAAAAGGTTACGAACCCTGTTAATCAGAATTTAAACCACTGATGATTCCCTGCTAAGAATTTAATCTTTTTTTAGGAGGGTGGGAATTACATATTTAGTTTATTTTGTAACCTTAATTGCGACCCAACAGAGAAAATAATTATAGTCTGAACAGTGTATCCACAAGTTCAACAATTGAAAGTAACCCTTTGATGTGTTCTTTTTGTTGCCTTCTGGATGAAAACATACTGATATTGTTAGGAGATATGCTGTTTTGGTGAACTACTGGGAGTTGAAAGGTTAAAATTACCCTTGCTGGTGGAGATTTAGTAACGTTTTGTACATTGTACATTATTGTGATTTTACATTAAGTCCAGGGAGACAGGATGTCAGGAAGGCTGGTCTTCAAAGATAACGCAGGTAGATGCATAGTTCACATTTGAAGATTTTAAGGGTGTTATTCTTGAAGTCTTTGAATGAGTCTTGTTTAGCCAGTTTAGTGTAGTAAGAGAAAAGGTAAATTTTCTATTTAGTACAGGTGTGTCCTGTCTCTACAAAAGGTCAGTTAGAGCTAGTTAACTGAGTGTAATTTAGTAATTCAAGTGGCATAAGTTGGTCATGATTGGTCAGAAGCTGACCAATCATGACCTTGAACTTATGCCATTGCTCTGACAAAGGGCTAACACTCAAAATGTCAGCTTTTTTTACCCTTTATGGTGGCTAATTTATGTTTTCAACTCCGTTGTTAACACTAAATTACCTGCTATACCCTCCCACTGACGTAGCAACACAGTTTCTATAGAAACTTACCCCCTTTATTCTTATGCCACTTGAGTCCTGTAGTCAATAACATCACAGCTAGATGGACCAATCAGTTTAATCAAAATGGACCCAGTACATGCTACTGACAACAACTATTTATTTGACTCTGATGATAACTTCTGCTCAGGTGGTGAAACGTCAGTCTTGACAATGGACTACACACACTCGTATGGACAATCAGATGACATGATTACAATGATGTTTATGTAATTTTTTGTTCCAGTCTTGCAGATAACCTCAAAATTCATTTAGTACAGCTGAGAAACAACCCACATGCCTATTTTTCTCTAACGTCTTTCCTAATAAGCTTGAAAACCCTGTGCAAAATTACTTTTCAACCATGTTTAAGGTTTTAACTTCACTTCTGAACTTGCGTCTTGGTTATTTTCCAAAAACTGCTTGTATATGAAAATGTGCTAATGTTTCCTTCCAGGTATTGAAAGTGACTCTGATCTGGTAGTCAAGGCACAAGTCTTGGCTGGTGGGCGTGGAAAAGGAACATTCGAAGGAGGGCTCAAGGGTGGTGTAAGGATTGTGTTCTCGTAAGTTTTGAAAATTGTTAAACACACTGTACTTTGTTGTTTTTATTCTTGGCCTAGTTTTTTTAGCTCAATGCTCTTCACTAAGATGCCACCACACAATGTACTCATCTAGTAGGTGTAATTTTTTAACAGGCCAGATGAAGCTAAAGAAATGGCATCAAGGATGCTTGGTAAAAAGCTCTTTACAAAACAGACTGGAGAGCAGGGTCGAATATGCAATGATGTGAGCAAATATTTTGTTACAGTATAAATTGCTTTTAAAATAGTTGTTCACTTAACATCACCTATAAAGAAACAATAATGTGTTACAATGGCAAGCAAAACAACTTGCAAATCTTGTTAACATCTAGTTTCAACTGTAACAACCATTTTGACTAGTAAACTAGTAAATCTAGTTATTCTTGTAGCAGTAAGATAGGAAATGCTGCCCTAGAACCCAACATGTCTAAGCGCATTGTTGTGATTTATCTCTACCTTTGTTTAATTCAAGAACATTTTTTAAAGATTAATCTAAATTGCAGGTTTATATTTGTGAAAGACTCTATGCCAGAAGGGAATACTACTTTGCCATTGCCTTAGAGAGAGCATTTAAGGTACTCCAAATGTTTCTTGAAATTAAGTGTTATGTTTTTATTTTGACGTTATTATCATGGCATCAGTGGGAAAACTTTAGTTTATCAGGATTGTCTGGTATGTTTAAAATGTGACATCTGTGAATTAAATAAACTTATGAGACACCACAAACAGCAGATTCTGAATTTAGTCCATTGATTACCTCACGTGTGCTTTTGTTTCATCATCAATTTTTCATACATGCTGTCTTTGTTTATTGTTTCATTTATTTCCTTGTTTGTTGTTTCATTTATTTCCTTGTTTGTTGTTTCATTCAATTCTTTCTTTGTTGTTTCATTTTTTTCTTTCTTTGTTTCTTCATTAAAAAATTTGATTTTTCTCTTTCACCACATTATATTTTATCTTCCTTGTATGCAGGGACCTGTTCTGGTTGGTAGCCAGCAAGGAGGAGTTGACATTGAACAGGTTGCTAAGGAGTCTCCAGAAGCCATCATTAAATTTGGAGTGGATATTATGCAAGGTTTGCATCGTATAATTATAATATTATGTCAAAATTATATCAAACATTATGTGTACTGCTGCGGAATAACATGAAATTAATTAAGGAATATCATGAAACCTTGTAAGAAAAGTGCCTACTCAATAAAAAAAAATTATTTATCATGAATCCTCAAGATTGGGAAAAATCAAACCACATTGTGTTTCTCATGTTTGTGAAGAATTTTGGTCAAATGTTTGCTGAGATGCAAGTTGAATGGGCTAAACTGGAAGTAATTAGGGTGGTGTGTAGTTTTTCTTTTGTCAAAGGATTACGATAATTTATTTGTCCAGAACGAAGTTAACCCTTTAACTCCCTGAAGTGATTCACATGTACCTTCTCCCAACAATATCTCTCCACCATCCAGCAAGCAGGTAATGAGAATACTCAAATGTATCTGGTAGAAGTAATACCAAATTCTTAAAACTGATGTACATGGAAATTTGTAGCAGCAAGGGGGGAGAATTAACAATCAGATCATGGGAGTTAAAAGGGTTAATTACATATCAAACTATTTTGAAATTTTACCTTACTTTACAATAAACAAAATTTTTTTACATCATACTGGACTGCCTTGGCAGGGTTTTAAATGATTATTTGGGTTCTTAACAATTTTTCCCCAGGATTGTCAAAATCTGATGCTCTGGAATTTGCCAAAAAGATGGGTTTTAGTGAAAGCTGTGCAGATCAGGCTGCTGATTTCATTGTGCGACTTTATGATCTGTTTATTGAAAAGGATGCCACACTAATTGAAATAAACCCCATGAGTGAAGATGTACTAGGAAGAGGTTAGTATCCATCAAACTAACTGAAACCTCTCTCTGCAGCCACACTCTGTTAGCATCACACCAGAAAACCAGCCATTTTCCCAAAATTCTCTACTCTCCCTCACATAGTCACTCAAAGGAGGAGCTTGCTCTTAGGGGCAACCTCTTGTGGGCATTGCAAGCATTTTTAAAAGTTATTTCTCTTGTTTTTTTTCCTATTCTGATGTCCTCTAGGCTATAATTGGGTATCACATGGTCCTTAACCCTTTAACTCTAAAGAGTC